AAACCCAAAAGATTATTTCACATATTCTGTTATTTTGAAACAAAGGATAAACAGCTGCAGCGGAACCTTTTTAAAACAACAACAACAACAACTACTACTACTACTACTACTACTACTACTCCCCTCTCTTGGTGGATCTACACATAGATATTTAGCTGGTGCATATTTTCCCGTTCCATCTTCATGCTAGGAAAAAATTTGCTTGCTAAAAATCCCAATATTCAGCTGATGATGATACATGAGGAAGTATGAGCCAGTCCAAAAAACTGCAATGGTAGCACCGACCGTTTCATTTCCCGAAAGATGAGTCCCACACAGTACTGCAAGAGAGGGGCGCAAGGGAGAGACTATCCTAATTCCTTTCAGATATACCTAAAACCATCACAATTCCTTTCCCCTCATTCTTCAAGCACTATTTCCAATACAGTGGTACCTCTGGTTAAGAACTTAATTCATTCTGGAGATCCATTCTTTTTTTTTTCTTCAAAAAATGTATTAGTTTTCACAATATTATAAACAAACAAACAAACAAACACACAAGACAAACAAACATAAATCATAGCCTTATTGAAAATTACACTTATTAACTTTGTTAAGTGACTTCCGCACTTCCCCTTGGTTGAATTTCATTGCATGTCCTTTTAACGGTTTTCCAAATCCCAATTCTTATGAAATTTAACTTAAACATTAACATCCTTAAATCTTCACCTTATGGAATTAAACATATTAATTCATCACTTAACATAAATAAAATCCTAAGCCAATTAAGTATCTGCAAGCTATTTTCAGTTAATTTAACTCAACAAATTTAACTAGATAAATTTATTCCACTCTTCCTGATACTCTGCCTCCTTCTGGTCGTGGACTCTTCCAGTTAGGTCGGCTAGCTCTGAAAAATCCATCATCTTCATCTGCCATTCTTCTATTGTTTTGGTAATTCTTGGGTTTTCCACTTTTTAGCTAACAAAATACGAGCAGCAGTTGTGGCACACAAAAATAATTTAACATCTTTCTTGGGCAATTCCAAACCTCTGGAGGTCCATTCTTAACCTGAAACTGTTCTTAGCCTGAGGTACCACTTTAGCTAATGGGGCCTCCCACTGCTGCCGTGCCGCCGGAGCACAATTTCTGTTCTCATCCTGAAGCAAAGTTCTTAACCCGAGGTACTATTTCTGGATTAGCGGAGTCTGTAACCTGAAGCGTCTGTAACCTGAAGCGTCCGTAACCCGAGGTACCACTGTGTATTAATGTGAAAGAGCTTCAAGGTCCCCCCACACTGGAGGAATGGCAGATGAAACTGATGGACTATATGGAACTGGCGGAAATGACTGGCAGAATCCGTTATCAGGGAGAAGAGTCGGTGGAGGAAGATTGGAAGAAATTCAAAGACTATCTGCAGAAACATTGCAAAATTAAAGAATGTTAGAGTGATGTTGGATTGAAAATAAGTGGCTTCCAGCTGTACAGGATTTAAAGTTATATATAGATTAAGATTAAGGATTAGGATTAAAAAAGTTTAAGGAAATGGAAATTTGGTTTTTAAGAGGTAAAATTTTAATGTTATATTATATTAAGATTAAAGATTGGGATTAAAAAAGAGGGAAAGAAATTGCTGGACAAACAAACTGAACTGGAATACAAAAGAGGGAGGTATGAGGAGGTCCAGAAAATAAGTAAATTTAAAAATGGAGATGAAAAGGTGGTATTGTTTTTACCTGTTTTCTTTTTTGTCTTTTGTCTTTTCTTTTTTTTTCTTTTTTGGATTATGTATTGTGTATTTTTGAATTGTGTATTTCTTTTCTATGTTTTTATGTTTAATTTTTTACTGATGTGTTCTTTTTATTGGAAACTTTAATAAATATCATTAAAAAAAAAAAAGAGCTTCAAGGTTCCGTCCATCCCCATTGCTGCTGAATCTTGATGATTTTCTGTAGCAGTGATGGACACAGAACCCTAGAACTGGAGAGTTGGAAGGGACCCCCAGTGTCATCTAGTCCAGCCTCTGCAATGCAGGGATCTTTTTGCCCAACGTGGGGCTCAAACCTAAAACCTTGAGATTAAGAGCTGCATGCTCTGCCAATTGAGCTATCATAGTTCTCAATGTTTTAATAGAGCCACAGTCACAGGGACCACAAAAATAACTACATACTTTAGCTGCCTTGTTATATTTTTTTTAAGCTGCTTTGTGTGCATGTGCAAAAGTTGTTATAACAAAAGAAACCATAAACTGAATTTAAGATGCTGGGATTATGGAGCCTTGAATGAGTGGTATTATATTTGTCACAGCATTTTGTAATTCAGGGTTATTTATTCCGGGTTAAGCTTTAATAAGAAGAGGCTATAGACTTTTTGAATGGAAGGCTTAGAGAACACATCAGCAAGAAGCTAGACAAGAGTTTTATAGTCGTTCTGCTTAAACAAGAACAGAACAGCAACAGTTTAGTGCCATCTAGTGACCAAATTATATAATGACACTATCCACACAGTTTTAGAGATACGGTGGTACCTCGCAAGACGAATGCCTCGCAAGACAAAAAACTCGCTAGACGAAAGGGTTTTTTGTTTTTTGAGCTGCTTCGCAAGACGATTTTTTCTATGGGCTTGCTTGGCAGGACGGAAACGTCTTGCAAGTTTGTTTCCTTTTTCTTAACGCCGTTAATACAGTTGCGACTTGACTTCGCGGAGCAACTCATAGAACGCGGTGTGGTAGCCTTTTTTGAGGTTTTTAAAGACTTTGGTGATTTTTGAAGCTTTTCCAAAACTTTCCCGACACCGTGCTTCACAAGACGAAAAAATCGCAAGACGACAAAACTCGCGGAACGAATTAATTTCGTCTTGCGAGGCACCACTGTACAGTGGACACTCGGGTTGCGAATGTGATCCGTGCGGGATGCACATTCGCAACCCCCAGTGTTCGCAACCTTCAGCGGCGCGTCTGCGCATGCGCGGGTTGCAATTTGGCGCTTCAGCGCATGCGCAAAGTGCAATTTAGCGCTTCTGAACATGCACGACATTGAAATCCAGAAGTAACCCGACAAAACGCAACCTGAAGCGGCTGTAACCTGAGGTATGACTGTATGTGGATTTCTCTGTCAATTGAGTTGTTTATCTTCATCTATCATACAAATGAAGACACATTTGAGACACTTAAATAGTTTACATGAGAAATAACCCCCATTCCTGCCAGACCTGGTCCTTGTATGCTAAGTGGCTCGCTAAAAGAAGTGTGCACCAGGATCAGGCATGTTCTATGGCAGGGGTCAGCAAACTTTTTCAGCAGGGGGCCGGTCCACTGTCCCTCAGACCTTGTGGGGGGCCGGACTATATTTTTTTGGGGCGGAATGAAAGAATTCCTACACTCCACAAATAACCCAGAGATGCATTTTAAATAAAAGGACACATTCTACTCATGTAAAAACATGCTGATTCCCGGACTGTCCGCAGGCTGGATTTAGAAGGTGGTTGGGCCGGATCCGGCCCCTGGGCCTTAGTTTGCCTACCCATGTTCTATGGCAAGGTGATAAAAAATAGGACAGAAAGAAGAGTGCCCATCAGCCTCCCACTATTGCAGCTCTAGAGGGAGGAAATAATACACAATAATAAATTCTTCTTCTTCTTCTTCTTCTTCTTCTTCTTCTTCTTCTTCTTCTTCTTCACAGGGTTCTGGGAGTGAAAAAATGTCTAATTTAATTAAACATTTGCCGCAGTCTACTGTCTAGGGGACAGTAAGACAGTAAGACACAGTAAGACAGTAAGAGGGACGCGGGTGGCACTGTGGGTTAAACCACAGAGCCTAGGACTTGCCAATCAGAAGGTTGGCAGTTCAAATCCCCGCGATGGGGTGAGCTCCCGTTGCTCGGTCCCTGCTCCTGCCCACCTAGCAGTTCAAAAGCACGTCAAAGTGCAAGTAGATAAATAGGTACTGCTCAGGTGGGAAGGTAAACGGCTTTTCCGTGCGCTGCTCTGGTTCGCCAGAAGTGGCTTAGTCATGCTGGCCACTTGACCCGGAAGCTGTACGCAGGCTCCCTCGGCCAATAAAGCGAGATGAGCACTGCAACCCCAGAGACGGCCATGGTCAGGGGTCCCTTTACCTTTCCCTTTTACTGTCTAGGGGTAGCCTTCTTTTGCTCACTCTCAACAGGAACATTTTCAAATGTTATCCCCATTGTTTTATGCAGGCTCATTATCCGCTCTAATTAAAAGCATTTGTACATTTAGAACACTCTGCTGAATGAATAATTGCACAAAGCAGCTTCATGCCCGAAGCTGGTTGCAACCTGGCCCCAATTCCACTGCTGCTGCGCGCAAGGAATCGAGATCACTTGCAACCCAGCCCTATGCATGTTCCCTCACATAAATTCCAAACTTCATTTGCTCTTCATGGTGCTGTTCCACCGAACTAGGCTTCTGAAATGAGTCAAGGAACAGTTTTAGCTTTCCATTAAAAAACTATTGTACACCTCTGCAGGCCTTTACATTTGTTCTAAGAAGATTTTCTGTACAGCCAGGGTTTTGGGGGGCAAAAAAGCCTTGACAGAAGAGAGGTTGTTCAGGCATAAGTAGTAGGGGGGCAGTTAGGTGCACACGGAGTGCATTTTCCTTTTAGGAAAGGAACAGGATTGTTTACATCCAGGCCCTTTCCCCAGCACAGTTGCTTGTTTATAGACTGTTTATATCTTATCAGTGGTGTAGCGTGGGTTGTCAGCACCCGGGGCAAGGCAAGTAATTTGCGCCCCCTAACCCGTGGATTTGCGCCCCCTAACCCTAACCCCCAGATGTTGCGCCCGGTGCGGCCGGCCCCCCCTGCACCCCCCACGCTACGCCACTGTATCTTATAGTTTAACTATGTGCTGCATGAAGACCAACAATGAGTTTCTTTGGATCTCCATGAGTTCTGGTGTTTTGAGACAGAGAAACCTTTCTCTATCCCCCTTTTCCATTTCATTCACAATTTTATATACTTCTAGCATGTCACCTCTTAGTTGTCTTTTCTCTAAAGCAAACTGTCCCAAATGCTGCAACCTAGTTTCATAGTTGATCATTCAGCTTGCCCTTTTCCAACTCTACAATATCCTTTTTGAGGTGTGGCAACCAGATAGCTTAGATAGACCATATCCTGATAGTTCAGGAAAAAAATGAGATCATTTTCTTAGGCTGGCTTTTCTCCCCAGATGCTAACTTTGTGGAGATAGCAAATGGCATTTTACTGATGCAGAAACGATACATGCAAGACGGATGAATACAAAAGCTTGGACCGCCAAAGCACATTTGGAACCAATTTCCTTGAACTTCAGTGTGCAACAGATGGGAGCTTGTTCAGCTCTCGCATTCCACGCTGAACACCTGTTGAATCCTTCTGCAATCCCTGAGGGTTAAGGGTCACTTCATCATAAAGTTAACTTGAATGAACAGCACCAAAAAGAGGGGGGAAAGAACACAAGTGGATCACCTCCACAAAAGCCTGCAAATCCAGAAGGGTAGCCAATTGGCTTTGAGCTCTTATCTTAACATGGAGCCACAGTTTACTGATCTGAAATTATTAAGCTACATAGCAATTGATGTTTAGAGACACTAATCACCGTAGAGTCAGGGATAGCTGAGCTCACTAAAAGCAGTCCTATTCATAGAACCAAGAATCATAGACTTGTCCAATCCCTTGCGATATTCCTAGGGCTCCAGGTACCACTTCCGACGCTATAAACCGCACCTTTGTTCAAAATGCTTTCAACTGAAGAAAAATCACATTGTCCTCCTTGTATCCGTTTGCTTTGCATCCATTTTCATTCACAGGTACCTCCAGACAGCATGAATTAGAGTAAAGTCTGTGGCTGTTTCCTGTTGCTGTGGTTAAACTTTATAAGTATTCTCTGAATGATGTACACATGTGCCCACCTGGCTGCTTTGGTTGGAATCGGCACTGCTATAGGTACCTCTTCAGACCTGTCCTGCATCTGTAAGAACTCCATCATTTAGGACTTCCAGTGGAAGAAGATGGCAGACTAGACTTCAGCACTAAAGAAATACAGGACACAATGAGATAATAATAATAATAATAATAATAATAATAATAATAATTTATTATTTATACCCCACCCATCTGGCTGGGCCTCCCCAGCCACTCTGGGCGGCTTCCATATAAACCAAAAATACAGTAAAATATCACACATTAAAAACTTCCCTGATCACCCCCAAAATAATAAAACACCTGGTCTGGGTGGATTAGCTGCAGATTTTTTTTAAAAAGCTTTCTAAGATACATTGATGGGCTCATTAAACAGCTTATTTAGATAATGTAGATTCTTGGAAAATCTTGGAAAAGTGCAAAAATAACACAAATTTACAGTGGTACCTCGGTTTAAGAACAGTCCTGTTTACGAACAATTTGGTTTACGAACTCTGCAAAACCAGTAGGGTCCTGGTTTGCGAACTTTACCTCGGTCTAAGAACGGAATCCGAACGGTGGAAGGGCACCGGCGGCGGGAGGCCTCATTAGGCGAAGCGCGCCTCAGTTTAAGAATTGTTTCGGTTTAAGAATGGACTTCTGGAACAGATTAAGTTCGTAAACTGAGGTACCACTGTATAAGAAAAGAAAATATTGTTACAGATCAGCATCCTTGTTAAATCATGATCATAAATGTCATGCCACATGGAGATTAAATAGAATTATATCTATCTATATATCTACTGAGACCAGTTTTATTATGGGCCATTTAATATCAGATGATTCCAGAAGAGTGCAGAGTTTAATCAATGAAAATTGTTATAAAACTGAACCATCCTTCTTCTTCACGGACTCTGAAAAAACATTCAAAAGTATTTCTATTCACTGTTGGAGAAATTACAGTGGTACCTCGGGTTAAGTACTTAATTCATACTTAACCTGAAACTGTTCTTAACCTGAAGCACCACTTTAGCTAATGGGGCCTCCTGCTGCTGCCGGAGCATGATTTCTGTTCTCATCCTGAAGCAAAGTTCTTAACCTGAAGCACTATTTCTGGGTTAACGGAGTCTGTAACCTGAGGCGTATGTAACCTGAGGCGTATGTAACCCGAGGTACCACTGTAAACTGAACCAAGGCTGCTAGGAAAGCAGTTGATTAGGAAAGCAGGTACCACTGTATTATTATTTAGGATTTCAGGATCTCCAAGATGATCCACATGCTGTTTTGTGGCAAGCTATTTAATTAGATCTTGTAACTGTGAATCAGTATAAAGTGATATCTGTTCTACAGGTGTGTTGTTTCCAGAAACAAAGGAGTATACTGAATTTGATTTATGGGTTTTGAACGGCATCTTCCAGGTGTTGGATTAAGCTTGATGGGAAGATTGGATATTTTTTTCCAACTTTATGCTTGCAAACATGCCCTTTTTCAGTCTCCAGACACTGAACTGGGAAACCAGGAAGGTCAGTGGCTTATGCTGGAAATCCTCGCTTACACATTGATGTGAATTCCAGAGTATGTTGCAGTGGTGCAGAAATTGACAGAATGGGTAGGACGAAGGGGTTAACCAGTCACACACCTCAGAAGGTAAATACTCTTCCAAAGACAGCAGTCTCCTATAATACAGCCTTTGGGTTGTGACATAAAAAGGTAAAGGGACCCCTGACCATTAGGTCCAGTCGTGACCGACTCTGGGGTTGCGGCGCTCATCTTGCTTTATTGGCTGAGGGAGCCGGCGTTTGTCCGCAGACAGCTTCCGGATCATGTGGCCAGCAGGACTAAGTCGCTTCTGGTGAACCAGAGCAGCACATGGAAACGCCGTTTACCTTCCTGCCAGAGCGGTACCTATTTATCTATTTGCACTTTGATGTGCTTTCAAACTGCTAGGTTGGCAGGAGCAGGGACCGAGCAACGGGAGCTCACCCTGTCGTGAGGATTCGAACAGTCAACCTTCTGATTGTCAAGCCCTAGGCTCTGTGGTTTAACCCACAGCACCACATACCTGGGCAAATAAGCCAATACTTCTCCCCCACCAAAACAGCGCCAGTCATATCAGCCAGAAAATCTCCCAGAGCTGTCTGAAAACCCATTGGATCCATCGGCCTCCAAAGGAAGGCCATCTTAATAGGCCCCCCACCTCTGCAGCAGAGAAAAGGTACTAAAAGCCTAAATATCAATAGGAAGTGATCTGACCACAACAAGGGAGTGGTGTCAATATCCCCCACTTTCAAAACACCCTCTTCCTGTCCAGTGGAGAAAGCAAGGTCCGGGGTGTGGCCTGCCACATGCATTGGGCCCGTGACATGTTGAGGCAGCCCCATGGTTGTCATGGCAGCCATGAAATCCTGAGCCAGCCCAGAGTCAGTTGCCTCAGTGTGGATGTTGAAGTCTCACAGAACCAGCAGCCTCTGAGACCAGCTTGGCCAGCTCAGGCAGGGAGACTGCTGGCCATCGAGGTGGGCGGTAAACCAGCAGAATCCCTAATCCAGGGGTCAGCAAAGCTTTTCAGCAGGGGGCCGGTCCACTGTCTCTCAGACCTTGTGGGGGGCTGGACTATATTTTGAAAGAAAAAAATTGAACAACTTCTTATGCCCCACAAATAATCCAGAGATGCATTTTAAATAAAAGGACACATCCTACTCATGTAAAAACACGCTGATTCCCGGACCGTCTGCAAGCCGGATTGAGAAGGCAATTGGGCCGGATCCGGCACATGGGCCTTAGTTTGCCTACCCATGCCCTAATCTGTCCCAATTGCCCAGTGCCAGCAACACTCATATTAGGTCATCTACTGACAGCTGCTAGGAGCCACGAGTGAGGGCTGAGTGCAGGGTGGGGACCAGAGGCGTACAAATTACTTCAGAAGGAGAACAACGTGTTCCCCACCAGAGGTACTGCCCTATTCCTAACATCCCATACACCCCTAGGTCACAATGAGGTATATTTTATGTTGAGTTGTGGCAAGCTCCCTCAATAAACATGGGAGTGAGGTAACTTCAAAACTTAGAAACTCCTTGTCAGTATCACTTGATAGGTTGATATCCAGCAGCAAGGGAAACCTGTGACCAAGGGAGAGCAGGATGAGGCACATGGTAAACAAAACTGGAATTGTATTTTACACACTCAATGGGGACTAAAACATAATGATTATTCCGATTACAGTGGTACCTCGTGTTACGGACGGGATCTGTTCCGGAGGCCAGTCTGTAACGTGAAATGCCCACAACGCGAAGCGCTGCGTCTGCGCAGACGAGTGGCGGCGCTTCTGCGCAGGCGTGAAGCGCAGTTTAGCATTTCTGCGCAGGCCCGAGCAATGAAACCCGGAAGTAACCCAGTCCAGTACTTCCGGGTTGCCGCAGGATGTAACGTGAAAAGACGCAACATGAAGCGAACGCAACACGAGATATGATTGTACTCCGATTAGGCACAAGGCTTCTTCTCAGTCAGAATCACTTTTACGGAAGTGATGAAGAACTTTATGAGTTTTCCTAATTAAACGGATTCCTTCTGGAATAGCTTTGGATTCAGGAGAACACTTCCAGCCCCTTTCTAGGATATTTTCCTTTGAGGGAAGCAATCTGGTTTCCCCTGCCTAGCAAGCCCTAGGTGTTATGTACTGAAGTTCTCACCCTGGGCCAGCAGGGGGATACTGTAGATAGTTTTCACTCAGGTCCACATATGCAAATAAGGGATTGAAAGGGACGTTCAGTGATTGGATAGTTACAGAAAGTGGTTACTGTTGCGTTCTAGTGGAGCTCTATATAAGCAGGCTGGCTGAACCCTTCAGTTCAGTTCTGTTTCTGGCCTGTGAATAAACAAGAGCTGTTTGAAGAATCGCTGTGTCGTCTGATATGTTCACCCACAATCCAACACTAACCATCCAGCGAATTCCTTGGCCAAGCCCTTTCCAAACCAAATCCAATCCCCATTTAAAAGTTACATAGTCGGGTTCTCTCTTTCTCCTCTCCTCTCCACTCCCTCCTGAATGGATGACCCTCTACCTGGCCCTGATTGGATCCAGGGTGTCCAGAGAGATGGTCCAAGGTCTGTCCATAGCACAAATTATGCCAATCTTGCTCATGCCATGATTTACAGAAATAAACCTTAGAAAAGGTTCGGATTGACACTCACCACTACAATGCCATAGCAGGGTTTTGTCTTCACAATGGAGCTGCAAGGCAACTGTGCTAAGCTGGAGAAGTTCAAGTGACCCACATTTCACATAGCCAAAGCCTTTATTTTAGCCACTACACGGCTCTGTCTCTGCTCTTTAAGACTGCATGCAATGTGTTCTGTTCATGTTTTGTAGCTGAATGGTTAGAGTGGAAATGAGATGTTTGCCTGCTGCATGGGGATTCGGATAAGTATCTAAACTAAAGATGGATACTCTGAACCAGGATCAAGAATTTTAGCACCAAGAAATTTTGGCTTAGCCTGTATCTGAAGATCACTATAGCCTCCCTTGATCTCTTAGCTTTGGATGAGTTCAGATCTAGGGCCAAACTCTATGCGACGGTGGGCCACTGCTGATATGAAACTGATGGGGCTTAGCTGAACCTTACAAGCTTTATGCATCCCTGGAGCAGAATCTGCCAGTGTTATGGATGGCATCATCATTCTTTTGCATTGTTAAGAAGCACTTCACACCATGTGCGTAGCTCATTTTGATCCCGGCTGCGCCGCATTTCAACTTTCATCTATGGAATTGCTGGCTATAAATAAGGGTCCTGCTTGTGACTGACATTTGAACCAGCCCAGAAGAATGACAGACATTTAACCCAAGTAGTGCTTTATTTTATTTTTATTTTATTTTTATTTTTGTGCTGGGGCTTTGCTATGTCCTTGGTAGGAAAACTGTGTCCCAATAAATACCACCCAGATTCATCCGCTCAGAATTCTTCCCTGCACTTCAAAGGCAGATCCAAGCTGAGTGGGCAGCTGTTTTGTTTTCATCTTAGACTATTTTTTATTTATTTTTGGCTTTAAGCTACAACTTGGCGTCAGCTAGGACTGGAACTAACTTTTTCATTAAAGAATAAATGTTCCTACTTCTCATCGTTTGCTACCTTCAACACCACTAGTTGCAGATCAGTCAACCCCTCGTTGGCTGGCTTTTGTATTCATTAGTGGGGCAAATGTTGTTGTTGTTTAGTTGTTTAGTCAGGTCCGACTCTTCGTGACCACCTGGACCAGAGCACACCAGGCACTCCTGTCTTCCACTGCCTCCCGCAGTTTGGTCAGACTCACGCTGGTAGCTTCGAGAACACGGTCCAACCATCTCGTCCTCTGTCGTCCCCTTCTCCTTGTGCCCTCCATCTTTCCCAACATCAGGGTCCTTTCCAGGGAGTCTTTTCTTCTCATGAGGTGGCCAAAGTATTGGAGCCTCAGCTTCAGGATCTGTCCTTCCAGTGAGCACTCAGGGCTGATTTCCTTCAGAATGGAGAGGTTTGATCTTCTTGCAGTCCATGGGACTCTCAAGAGTCTCCTCCAGCACCAGAATTCAAAAGCATCTATGGGGCAAATACCTACTGCTATTTTCTTGAGTTACCTTTGTATTTTGGCCCATGGTTTAAGACCACCAACTTAAAAGGGCACTCCATGCGTTTCACAAACTAGACTCATTGCTGGCACTTAATATATCACATGACACCATTTTTGCTGTGAGAGACTTAACATGGTCACCCATTTGGATTATGATCCAGTAGGTTTACCAACAAAGAGACAGAATGTCTAGATAGGGAGGAAAGGATAACCAAGGGGGGAAATAAGTGCAATAGTCATTTCATAAGGAAATGTACAAATTGATTAGTTGTACGGATGCCATTGAAACAAATGGATCCAGTAATTTTCAAAAAGTAATGGATCTTGTATTTTGGTGGTGAGGCTCTAGTTGTAATGCAAAGAGACAGTTTGAGAGGGGAAATTACACAAATACTGTAAAACGCTAACTCAGTTTTTTGTAGAGAAATGCACGTTTTAATAAATACGGATTATTATTATTATTATTATTATTATTATTACAGAACTGAAATAAACATAGCTCAGTGGTAGAGCACATGATCTTTTCATACAGAATGTCCCAAGCTCAAGCCCTAGCAAAGGGTAAAAAGGTAAAGGACCCCTGGACAGTTAAGTCCAGTCAAAGGCGACTATGGACTCTCGCCGTTTGTCCACAGGCAGTTTTCCAGGTCATGTGGCCAGCATGACTAAAGCGCTACTGGCACACCGTGACGAGTGCCAGAGCGCATGGAAATGCCATCTACCTTCCCGCTGGAGTGGTACCTATTTATCTACTTGCACTTTGACGTGCTTTCAAACTGCTAGGTTGGCAGGAGCTGGGGCAGAGCAACGGAAGCTCACCCCGTCGCAGGGATTCGAACTGCCAACCTTCCAATCAGCAAGCCCAAGAGGCTCAGTGGTTTACACCACAGCGCCACTCGCGTCCCCAGATTGAGTTGTAAAATCCTGCTGCTCAACAAGAGCCATCTTTCCTATTCAGCGGCGTAGTGTGGGGGGTGCAGGGGGGGCCGGCCGCACCGGGTGCAACATCTGGAGGGGGGGCGCGCTCGCACTCGCAGCTCTCTGCCCCTACCTGGCTCACTCACTCTCTCTCACTGCAGTGCTGGCTGTGCGAATCCGATCCGAGCCGCTGGGTTGCCGCCCACTGTGGAGGGGGTGGGTGCCAGGCGTGCGGTGCGGAGAGAGAGTGAGGGACTATCTGGGGGAGGGACAGTGCAGCGGCCGCCCAGCGCAGCGCTGAGCGCGGAAGAGAACCACACCAGACCAGACCAGGCAGCAGCAAGAAGAAGCTGGCAGCGGCGGCAGGTTAGGGGTTAGGGGGCGCAAATTACTTGCCTTGCCCCGGGTGCTGACAACCCACGCTACGCCGCTGTTCCTATTGGGCTTACTGGCACATGGCGCCAGGGTGCTGGCCTCTCAGGGGAGCCTCAGTGAGTGGAGGAGCTGTGAGGCTTTGCCGGCGGCCTCTCCTTTCCCTGCATGCCTGCCAGCTATTCCCCATCAACCATAAGGCTGGCAGGCATGCAGCTTGCCTCCCAACCCTCCGCAGGAGGAGAGCAATCCCTGCAGAGGCTTAGGATGGAAGCTGCGCCCCACCAATTATATGGCTGGCTGGCGGGCGGGCAGTTTCCTTCCCAAGCCTCCGTGGGAGGAGAGCGATTCCTGCAGAGGCTTGGGAAAAGGTCAACAACTCTGGAAAACAGCGGGGGGCGGGGCGCTGGAGGGATTCCCCCCCTCAATTTTTTTTATTGGTTTCACAGAATTATAAGCAAACACATAAAACAAACAAACATATATAATAACCTTGTTAAAAATTACACTTATTAACATTGTTAAGTGACTTCCTCGCTTCCCCTTGGTTGAATTTCAATGCATATCCTTTTAACGGTTTTCCAAATCACAGTTCTTATAAGGTTTAACTTGGACATTAACATCCTTAGATCTTTTCATTTTGAAATTAAACATATTAATTCATCACAACTTATATAAGCCAATTGAGTAACTGCAAGCTGTTTCCAATTAATTTAACTTGACATATTTAACTAAGTAATCATTAAATTTGGTCCATTCTTCCTGATACTCCTCCTCCTTCTGGTCGCGGAGGAGGAGCATCAGGAAGAATGGACGAAATGGGCGCCGGAGGGATCTTTGCACTACGGCACCGGATATGCTTAAGATGGCGCTGTGATCAACGCTGGCAGTGCCAAGCTACATGGACAAGTGGTCAGACTCAGTTATAAGGCAGCTTCTTGGTCATTACGCCACAAAATTAAAACCAATTTTCTGTCACCACATGGTTATAAGCCCATACCTTATGTGTTAAATGCCTGAGGCCTGTCTGTGTGAAAGATAAAAGAAAACAAGGAGAAAAGGAGAGAATGTGGCCGCGTTGTTTATTAAGAGCAGCTATTTCAGTGCTGACACTGCAGGTTGTATGTTTAAAAGCTCTCTGTTCGCATTTTCTCAGCATGCCAAGATATGCTGAAAAACTGGCCACTGAAATATAAAGCAGGAAACACATATATAGCTTTTGAAATTCACTTCTTTGGTTACAGAAAAAGCAGCCAAATTTTTCCCTCTCAGACCCTGGCATCTCCTACGTTCCAAATGTTTCTCTGCTTCTTTTAACATTTTAAATGCTGGCCAGAATACACACTGGTTCTCAGGCAAGGTGACAAGAACAGTTGTTTTTCAAAATAATTACTAAGGCCTACGGGGGGGGAAAACTTCTTGATCCCCCTGAAGATGGAAATGAGCAGTGGGACTTGCTTCTGAGAAGGCACTGGGCTACTTGAGTCAGAACACATGCTTGATGCACAAAGCCCTTTCCCAGACTGAAATGGTGAGGGTTAAATACTTCTTACTAGAGCAATGCCACTGGCCCCATCACCTCCTGGCAAATAGAAGGGGAAGAAATGGAGGAGTGAGAGATTTTACTTTCTTGGGCTCCATGATCACTGCAGATGGTGACAGTAGCCACGAAATTAAAAGACACCTGCTTCTTGGGAGAAAAGCAATGACAAACCTAGAGGGCATCTTAAAAAGCAGAGACATCACCTTGCCAACAAAGGTCCATATAGTAAAAGCTATGGTTTTCCCAGTAGTGATGTATGGAAGTGAGAGCTGGACCATAAAGAAGGCTGATCATCGAAGAATGGATGCTTTTGAATTATGGTGCTGGAGGAGACTCTTGAGAGTCCCATGGACTGCAAGAAGATCAAACCTCTCCATTCTGAAGGAAATCAGCCCTGAGTGCTCACTGGAAGGACAGATCCTGAAGCTGAGGCTCCAATACTTTGGCCACCTCTTGAGAAGAGAAGACTCCCTGGAAAAGACCCTGATGTTGGGAAAGATGGAGGGCACAAGGAGAAGGGGACGACAGAGGACAAGATGGTTGGACAGTCTTCTTGAAGCTACCAGTATGAGTTTGACCAAACTGCGGGAGGCAGTGGAAGACAGGAGTGCCTGGCGTGCTCTGGTCCATGGGGTCACGAAGAGTCGGACATGACTAAGCGACTAAACAACAACAACAACTAGAGCAATGCAACCAATGTGGTCAAAGTCAGACATACGAACTGAATCAGGATGATTTGCACTGTACACAGGATGATATCCAGGACTGGCCCACCCATGAGGCAAGGTGGAGCCACTGCCTCAGGCGGCAGATCCCAATGTCAACCTTTCTCTCCTCA